CTACCACTTGAGCCACTCCACCAGTCCCTTCTATTTGCAGTTTTGAGCATGAGAGATGTCTATTGTGGATAGCATGAAGTTGATTCCTAAGTTTCATTTGTTGGTTTGTAGCTTTTATCTATTCCACCAATCCATGTCTGTTGACTGAACTATGTCACCTGTTTTATTAATATAATTATTGAGAAAATTCAATTTATATTTGCTGTTTTGATATTTTTATATATGTTATTATTGTTTTCTACTACCCATCCATTAATACTTTAATTTTGCTAAATATTTTCTATTATACCATTTTAATTCTCTTGTTTCTTTTGAACTAGATTTTAGTTAGAATATATTAATTGTACAAAGGGGTTTCACTGTGATATTTCCATTAAAAAATATAATGTACTTTAATCAAATTCACCCCTCTATTATTCTTTCTTAATACCCGGTGTTTTCTTTTGTTTTTCACAATTTTAATGGTTTTCATTATTCTATGTTCATATATGCATATAAAATACTTCATCATATTTACTTTGATTTCTCAACAAGATCCTGTCACACAGTATACTAACTCTACTGTGTAGAAATTTACAAAATATTTCTTAGTTGTTTCATTGGGAATTACAATGAATCAATTATTCTAAACAAGCTAGTAGATTATGCCAATTTAATTTCAAGAGTTTACAAAAGTCTTTGCTCCCATACAACTCCATTAATCCTCTTTCCTTTGAATTGTCTACTTATACATTATAAACTGAATCTTCACAAATTTATAATTATTGTTTTATGTGATTGCCTTTTAATCTAGGTATGACAAGAAAAGGATTACAAACAATCAAAAAAATCCACTATATGCTCTTATATTTACACAAACAATGATCTTTACTGAAGTTATTTCTTTCTTTGTGTTTTCTAGAGTTACTGCCTTTTTGGTTCTGCCTCTGCACTTACAACTTGCTGTCTCTTTTCTCACACTTGGCTGTGTCATCACTTAAATTTAGCTGTGTTAATTTTAGCTTCTCTGAGATGAATGTTGAAGAGTAAAGAGCCGCAGAAGACATGGGGGAAAGAGCTGGGAAAAGGAAGGTCTTTCAAAATCTTTGGAAAGTTGAAATAGAGTCTCAGACCCACTTGTGCATTGTAGTTCACCTTCAGTGTCTCTCATGGTGCTAATGATTAAGGATTAGCTTTAAATTATCTGAAGGCCGGAACCCAGAAAGCATGAAAACAGATGGCATGGGGCCAAGCAAGCCATGATTAAAAAGTTCTCAAAAAGAAGTTTTTGAGAACTGTCTGTAGTTTTTCGACTGAGCTCTGTGAGTCATATTGTCAAAGAGAAAATTTAAGTAACTGCTTATAGCAAAGGAATAACTAATTCTTTTAATGATACTTAAAAGTTCTTAAGACGAGGACCACTATTTGCTCACTAATAATCTTACACTTACCAGTTTGAAAGCACACAACAGATTCCATGCATCTCCATAATTTTAAGCAAATAGGACAGGCCCTTCACTTAACAGCTCACTTGACAGAGCCTATGGCCCACAAAACGCATGCAACTCTGTTTATAGACACTAACAGTTGGAAATTGAGGGTTGCTCAAGCAGAATTCTACATAATTACCCATTTGGGGTTAATTTACTTTACTGTGGCTGCTAAAGTGAGCTCAGCTGAGCTTGCTATTTTCCATTCCGAGCAGCTTTCTAAATGTTTTAGTTTCACAGCCGGGCATTTTACTGCAACTCTTCTGAATTGTGTGGCTGTTCTAACCAGTGCAATTCATCAGAAGACTGAGGGGATTTCTAAACCTGTAATGCAATTTGAGTTTGTTGTAGAGTTTGGGAGATTGAAGATGATAGGCTTAAATAAAAAAGACACAGTCATCCAAACCTTTTTAAAATGCTTTCTCTGTGCCTTGCACTATATAGAGATTGGGGAACAGTGGTGACAGGATAGATTCATGTACTACTCTTAAGGGTTTCTTTCTTTCTTTCTTTCATTTTATTGTTTTTACATTTACTTACACATATATACATTGTTTGGACCACCTCCCTCTCCCCTCCTCCCTGCTTCTGAAGGTTCTGCCCTCTTGTTCTCAGACTTTGTTGAAGAGAAAACATAAGAGATAATAAGAAAGACATTTCCCTTTTGCTAGTTTGGGATAAAGATAGCCATACAGATTCCTAGTGTTGCCTCCATGCACTTGTGTATTGCAACTCACATTGGTTCATCTCTGCCAGACCTCTTCACTACTTCCTGGTCCCCTTCCCACAGTGGCCTCTGCCAATTTAAGATTACTTTATATTTGCTCCTCTACAGTGAGCACATCAACCACGTTCAAGTTTTAGGTTTTCTTACCTTTCCCTATTCCTCCGTGCATGTTCTTCCCTTAGTGTGTGACCCATGTCCATATTACTGCATTTGTTTTAGGTCTATAATCCGCATATGAGGTTTTAAAGATATGTTAATGTGCAAATAAATGAGTAAGAGAATGTAAGTTGCTATCATATATAATGCACGTTGAAAATGCTCTTAACACCAAACATTCTCAACCAGAACCTCAATCCAAATCTAAAATACCTTCATTCCTGTATGTCATAAAACGTTTTTCTCTTCAAGAGTATATTTTTGTGAAACTTTTCTGAGTAAGTGGAAAATGGGCTCCCCATGTCCTCCTTAATAAAACTGCAAGCACTGTCTCCTGTTCTTCTACTTTTTAGAAAGCATTTACCGAGTCACCAACACAGGTTGAGCGTGTGCTAACGGGGGGCTGGAGATGGAACTAGAGATTCCTGTCTTCATTTGAAAGAGTAGAGGAGGCAGAAAGTGAGAGTCATTGCAGTGCTATTTAAATGTCCTATGAAAGACATTCATTAAAACAACACCACCACAATAACAACAAAAGGCACTTGAGCCCAGAATCTTAGCTTGGTAGTAAAATGCATTCTTAGAATGCACAATGCCCAGGGTTCTGTCACTAGTACTGCAAAAAACAAATCAAAACCAAAGTCACATACCAGAGCTCAACACATGCTTGTTACTTTGGAAATAAACAGAATTAATTGAAAGGCCAAATAACCACTTATACTCTTAAGGTATTTTACTTAATGACGTCTACTCTTTGGATACTGTTTCATCCATCTAAGGTGTGAGGTAGGTACTGTACAATTTCATTATACAGAGGATGAAACAGAGGCACAGAAACTTAGGTCATTGAAAAAAATTCATGTAACCACTACGTGGCATTGTCAGGGTTTGCATTCATGCAGCCTGGCCTGGGAGTCGTATGTTTTTGCTTTTTCATACTATATCATTCTGGATTATCTGTCCCCAGCTTATAAGAAGGTCCTCATTGTCTTATGACTTGTAGTGTCAGACCCCTCGTGGTCAAGCTTAAGCATCTGATGTGTTTTGGATAATGAAAAGTAAGGATGGTTAAGATATGCTGGTTCCCAGCAGAAATTTCAAGAGACATCACACATTTCTTTTAGTTTTTCTACCCTCTCTCTCAGTCCCAGTATGGCAGCTTCTGGGAAGTGCTGCTCACCTGACCAGGAGGAGAGCCACAACCAAATCTCAGCACTGACAAGAAACAGCTGTTGTTGCAAACCCCACACAGTTTTTTACAGAAGAATAACCTAGTGAAAAACGACCAGTTCGTTACTGTATACTAGGATGAGTGACTCTGCAGCAGGTTGTGGCACTGGCTTTGTGGGCAGATAGAAAAGGCTGAGAAAACTGTCACTGGGGTTAAGAAAACCACCAGTCATGTAGTGTAGTTCACATTTGTTTTTAGTTCAAAACATTAGGAAACAATGCTAATAAACTTTGCTACTGGTTGTACTTGTGAGGTCATTTAAGAAATGCCTTATCTGGAAAAACAGAGGAAAAGAGAAATATTTGACATTATGTAACATCCATGATTGAAAACTACAAGTGTTGCCTTTATCCAGTCAGTGAAAGATGATGTTGAAAAGATCCTTCAAATAACAAGGATTCAATAAGATGCAAATGGAGACCCATCCCCAAAGACCAAATAAAAAGTCTGTGAAATGTTTTAACAGATTGGGGTCCCCAGTAAGTTCTTGCAGTTCAATAAGTTGAGCAGACTAACGGCTTGGCTTTTGACAAAGCTAACCACCTCAATGTACTGGTAATGATTTTAGAGAAGGAAGGAACCCATCTTTAAGAACTGTGTCATTTAAAAGATACAGCTTACTAAATATGAGTGGGAGAGCATTTCGTTCCTCTGTGCTTTATAAATCTCCACAAGCGTTTATTGGTGCTTTCCATCAACTCATCAAGATTCAACTTAAGTGTTACAAGTCCTGGATCAAACCTCCCCCCACACCCAACACCTGCTATGGTCCCCCGTGCTTCTATTATTAGGGTGAGTTTCACTCTGCAACTGACTTTGCCCCTTCTCTGACTCATTGGTGACATAGACTTGGGCCTTATCTTCTTACAAGATGGGTGCATCAAGGGCACACACTGGTGGGTAGCTGCGTGAAGGGACAAAAGCCTCCATTACCTAGCATGGTTCTCTAACAAATGGCAGCGACCCCAATTCAAAATTTGAAACTTTAAAAAAAATCCTACCTAATTCATCTACTCTTCTAGAAATAAGATTGTTGAAACTGAAGATTTAACTCAGATGAGAAAATGCGTTACAAAAATCTCATAAGAGATAACCTTTTGGACTTCTAGTCTCAGGGAACTTTAAAAAGGTTTTATTTGCTATTTCTCATAAAAGCAAAACTAATAATGATACTCCTAGACAAAATCAACTCAATTAATTGCTGATGTTGAAATTTAATTATGCATTTAAAGTCTGGAAGGCAGAACTTAAGCTGTTCCTTCAATACCATTCTAAAAAAGTCAAGATTTATTTCCACATCTAGAGCCTAATTATGTTAAAGAACGTGCAATCAGTGACGACCTGTGATAGTCATTCAATGTGTGCTTAAAGTTAGTTTCAAAGCACATCCCAAAGAAAACACAAACAAATCACTTACCTGTCGGCACCAGAGTTTACGAAATATTTGCAGATAAGCCAACACCATAAGACAGAGTGGTGCCATGTACGTCACCAGGAAGAAACAAATGTGATACATCTTGGGGTAAATTTCACCTGGGATGAAAGTCAAAATAATAAAATCTGACATTAACTTGATGGGCTTCTAAAAATGTTTTCATTAGCATATTATACACACAAATGGAAGACTGATTTACTCACCTTAACTCAGATTGTATGTGAGTACATATCAAATGCATAGTTTTAATTTCACTCAATGTACCCATCTAGAAATAATCACCATTTCTTAATTTGTGCTGTGGCAGCCTGTTCAAATCAAATGTCCACTTAACAAAAGGCCTTTTATTTGGCTTGAGTACCTTTGACTAATTAATAAAAATGAGTTTGGATTGTCTTTTATGATTATTTATTCAAAGACTTAATCAAAATCTAATGACTAGCCCGGCACTGAGGCTCATGCCTGTAAACCCACCTACCTGGGAGGTAGAGATAAGAGGATTGCTGCTCAAGGTTAGCCTGAACAAAAATAGTTAACAAGGCCACATCTCAAACAACAAGCCTGGAATGTTGGCTCATGGCTATAAGCCTAGCTACTCAGAAAGGGAGAAAGGATGACCAGTGTCTGAGCCTAGCTCAGGCCCCCACCAAAATGTATGACACGTTATCAGAAAAGATAACTAAAGCAAAAAGGGCAGGCAATGTGGTCAAAGTAGTGGAGAACTTGCCTAGCAGTGCAAGGCTCTGAGTTCAAATCCCAGCATGCCAAAATAAAAAACTAATTACTAAAACTTTGGTTAAAATAGAAGTGAGTATAAATTCAATTAATTCCTCCCCAGTATAGTATAAGTTCCCTGAGAAATGGAAGGCTAATCTTAGTTGGAAGCTCTTTTCACAACTGCAAATGTAGAAAAATAAAAATGATACCTTTTTGATGATTCTTTTCGTTGGCTTCCTGGAACCTACTCAAAATTCCTTGTTAAGCACAGTGTGTCTGTGGGTGAGTGTGCATGTATGTAATGAAAGTGAGACTTCTAGGGCGTGCCAAAGTTAATCGTACATTACATGCATGTGTGCAAATGTCATCATGAAATTTCTTTGTATGTTAATACATGCTAATGAATACACAGATAACATCTATCATACAGTAGGCATTTACTAACCAATACAATGTTAATCGCCTTGTGGGTTAATATGAACATTTTAGCATTTCTAAGATATGTCTATCACTAACTTTTTAAGACATTTTTATTAGTATATAGTAGTTGTACGGGGCTTTAGTTGTGACATTTCCACAAATGCTTGCAGTGTTTGGGGTTGATTCATTCCCTCCATCATTCTCCCTCTTCCTCTTCCCCTTCTTAAAATGACGTCATCAGGTGTCATTGTTCCATATTCATACATGTCTGGGAAGTACCTCAACCGTATTCACCCTCTTTTACCCTCTTCTCTTACCCTACCTCTCCCACCAGTATTCTGTAACTCTTTATTCTGTTGGTGCATTTAACTCTTACTGAACACATTTATACACATCTGTGAGCTTAATTCCTCTTCAGCCTTGGTGCCATAGCTTGTCATGCAAAGTTGGTTGAGTCTAGTACCCTCTATTCTAATGCCATGTCTTTGTTCTTGGTGTCTTTTTCCTCCATCTTAATCTTCAAGAGCACCAGCAGGTTTGTATTTGGATGGGAGGTCCAAGAGCCCATCTAGGTGTCATGCTTAGCCTCTTTGGCCCTGGAAGATCTCACCTAATCATCAGTTTCTAATTCCTTTCAAGTTTATCCTATAAAACTGGCCAGTTACATAAAAAGTGATGGAATTCAAGCAGCCCCAAGAGAAGACTACGAAAAAGCATGTCCCTTTGAAGTGCTAAAGCCAGGCAGCATCTGATGGGCCAATTTCAAAGGAGCTGGAAGGTGACCTCAGCACTTCTCAGGAACCTGAGTGGCTTTGAACTTTTATTTGTTTTGAAGAAAGTGGCATATGAGGTTTCAGCATAAAAAAAAATTCCTTTGAAGCACATACACCTGTGAAGGCCTGGTGTCTGCATCAGCCTAAATCCAGGGAGTGGAGGAAGGGGTGAGATTTGTTTGGTGAGCGACATTTTTGTTGTTGCTTTCATTCACAGTGATGGATATCATTACTGTGAGAGTTTGGAGATCTGAGCAGATGGAAGTAAACGTACATTCTGCTGTTGGTATATTTATAAAGAGCTGGGAAAATGTAACTGGTTGGCAAATGCATATTACGATAATGAGCACTCATATGGAGAAAAGTTGATTGAGCAAAATTACAGTTCCAGTCTAGGATAGATTGTTTTAATAAGGAGATTGTAACAGATAATGACAGAAACACGATAGTCTTAAATTCCTCATTTCATGCTTAGAATCTAAGCTAATTGAAAACTCAGATATGCCACTGAAAATTTAAATTATGAGTGTAGAAAACATCTTTAAAGTGTTCCTGCGCTGGATAAGCAATGTCTTCTATCTATAACCTAGATAGAAGCCACATACAACGTGTTTCAATTAAGCACTACCTAACTCAGAAAACAGCATTTCAAAGATGGACAACCATTAAAAATCTGCAGGTCTATTCAGCTGCTGGCAGTAATCTAAATAAATTCTTGCATATATACATGTTATAAATATCAAACTAACAAATAAGGAACAAATGGGTATCACTATATGGTCTTTGAAATCAGAGATTAAAGTGTACCGTCATGCATTAGATGGGCAAAACAAAATATTCTTCAGATGAGTAAAGGTTCATTATTCAGTCAGCACGTGAATCTAGTTATCCAAAAACTATAAGCATTCCTCTTCATGCTACACTCGTCAGGGACAGAATTGAGGAGTGTATTAAACATAACTGGCCAATATTCAAATTGTTGTTTCAAAATGTACAGGTAACTGAAATGTACCTGAATTTTTAATATGTTTTATTATCTCCTCCCCTAATAATTGTTTTAATAAATGTTCCAATTAATCTAATCAGCACACATATACACATATTTAAATGTTTTCAAAGCCTCTTACTGGGCCGGAGGCCATAATTACATTGACTGTAAAGAAGGGCTTCATTATTTTTTTTCAAACCACCGAAGAATGGTTTGTATAATTCAAGAGGAGCGATGTCACCAATCTCCAGTGTCCAGAAACATTTGGTCAATAAATAATGGGATGATTATTTCTTTGAGCAAGCCAGCAAACCTGATGAATTTCTTGTTTCAGAAATCATTTACCCATAAATGACTATGTATTCTTGGTAATATTTCATTAAGACAAAGTTCTGGGTTATTTTATTTTATTTTTTATCACATGTGAGACGGCATCTACAGGACTTTCCCAAAAGTGTTTGATAGAAGGGGTCAACGGACCACATGGTTTTCCGAGTTCCTCTCCACTGTGACATTTCTTGTAGGACAATGATTGTATCACTGCACTTCTATAACTGAATTTTTATTGAGTTTAGAAAAATGATAAGAAGTGAGAAATACAGACATGAATTAATCTTAAATGGAAGGCACTACATTTCACAGCAAGTGTTCTAAACATGGATGAAATGGTTGTGGGTTTTTTAAAGATATTTGAATTTTAGAGGAGTGACATTATAAATATGCCTTCCTACAGTACTTTTAGTTATGATGATCACACAAATGCTGAGTTTTAACTTTTTATGTTGAATGTGGAATTTTAAATAGCTTGCATGAATAGAGCCCATGCTATGTGAAAATCGTTTAAATAAATGAAATACCTAATGAGCAAAATGGCTTGAGCCAATTTTGAATTACTTTACATTATTCTGGAAAACATGAAACGATTAACAATTCCACTGAGTATGTGAAAGGCTGATTCACAGCTTTTATTGTTTGATTTTGTGGGTGAATCAATGGCACTTAATTTTAGCCTTTAAAGCATTTTAAGTCATTGTGCACTGTTATATGATCACTTTCAAATAGTTTTTTTAAATGACTTCAGGAGACCAAGTATAGGTTTGTAGCTATTCAATAAAAATTGGGCTATTTCTTACACTAAAGTCAGATAATAAGATGCTAGAGGTGGGGGTGAATTTCATGGATTTATATTTATTGCTATTTTAAAACAACATGCTAGTTTCTGTAACTTGGCAAAATTTCTGTTAAATATGAGTTAATGGTACTTGATTATTTGGGGCCACAAAAAGAGTTTCTGTTAGAAGCTATAAACATGTAAGTGAAATTTAATGTCAAAATACGTTAGAAAATGTATTACTACGTTTACTGAATGATAGGTATTTTACCTAATTACTATCTCCATCATCTTCAAGGATCCCAAATTTTGAGTTGGAAGCTTTGCTTATTGTGTTATAACCTTGAATAAATAATTCAATCTCTATAGGGCTCAATTTATTTACTAATTAACTAAAAGAGATTTTAGGCTGTTTTCCAAGTATCACTTACTATAAGGAATTGTGGAAGAAATGTGTCACCATGTCACAATCCATCCTCAACCCACCTTCTTTCCAAACTTAATTATTTAAAACTATTTGTCCCTATGTTTCAAAATCTATAATTTTTGGGGAGAAGGTAGTATAGAACTCAGGGCTTACAGTTTGCTAGGTAAGAGCTCTACCACTTGAGGCATGCCCCCAGCTTTAGTTATTTATCAGATAGAGTCTTGCGTGTTTGCCCAGAGCTGGCCTGGGGCCTTGATCCTCTTGCCTATGCTTGCTGAGTAGCTGAGATTAGGGCTTATAGGTGTGTACCACAATGCCAGCCCAAAGATACGAGTTCTGGCCTTTCTTTATTCCTTAAGATGTGGTGGCCACTGAGTGGATTTTCTTGCTTCCTGGGACACAATTTTTCCTTCCTTAGGACACACTTCCTTTCCTGGGACACAGGATTTCTGTCTGCAGAATTTCTGCTGATCTTTAATGCTTTGCTGAAATATTAGCAACTCCTCTGCAAACTTTAGTTCAAATGTCTGGGATTGAGTTATATCTGATTTGTGTCCCTGGCACTTTGTATCTAAATATATAAACATTTGTTTATTTGCCTTTCAGCCAAACTTGCTGGAATGTGTTTCCTTAGCAGAGCCTATTTCTCTTCAAGTTGGCACACTGCCTGGCACACTAAATACTCAAGATGTTACTCAAACATTAAAGAAATGGAACATAAGACGCTTAGGAAAAATACCATTTTGGAGTTTTCCATTCATTTCATTTTGTTTTTAGGGCTGGTGGAATGGCTCAAATGGTAGAGCACCTATGTAGCAAACATTCATTTCATTTTTGTCTGCACAATATGAAAGGGGAATGTGGGATAATTAAAGTTGATCCAGAAAAATACAGCAAAAGAATAGCAGTATGAGAAGGGAAGAGTAAATCTTAACAAAAAGATTTTACTATTTGGGGTATTGTGGAATTTTTAATTATCTTAGATCCTACAGTCCTATATGCAATTATCCCAGTAGCTTTTAATTGGCACCTTCTGTACTGAAGGAATATTGTCAGATTTTCAATCACTGAATTTTTCTCCTTTTTGTGTTCCAATAAAAATACAAGTTAGGAATTATCACAAATTCACAGATTCATGTGTTTGAAAATGCTACCTCCATAAGCAATCCCTGGAAGGCACCACTTTTTGATACAGCTCTCTTTCTCTCTTTTTTTTGAGGTCTGCTTTTTGAGGCAGGGTCTATATATTTCTAATGAACAACTCCTTTATTAATGTTTAAATTCCCTAAATATGAGCCCTTGCAACACACTTGTCCAGAAGAGGCAAGTCCAGTGGGGCTGCAGGGTGGCTCAAGCGTTCGAGCATGTGCCTAACAAGTGTGAGGCCACAAGTTCAAATCCCAGTATCCCCGTATTGGGGAGGGCGTTGGGCAGCATACCAGAAGAGGTCAGACTATCTTCTACTTCTTTTTGTTTTTTTTAAATTTCATGCAATTTCCTGCTGCTCAGTCATGAACAGAAATGTTCCCACAGATGTGAGCTTTTGAGCTTTGAATTACTGGCTTATGAGGTTCCAGACTTCTGTTTGTTTACATTTTACTATCGCACTTGTTGAATGGAAAACAGAAATGGTTCAGAAGTGATTTTTTTAAAAATCTGGTAATAGTTATCCCAGAGATAAAGCTCATCAGCTGAATATAGCAAGAATAGAGAAATTTAGACATGAATCAGAGGACAGCATAGATCCACATGCATCTGTCATGTTCCGAGGACATAGTTTTAAATTGAAAAAATAACAACAGTTGATTTTTAAGTCCATTTGTGACCCTGACACTTGAGACAACATCGTGTTGAATCACGCTCATCATTTTAGAATATGTTTTCGGAATTGTATTATTGTCTTTTTCTTTGCTTTAAAGAATTCAAGAGAAAGTAACGTAAGCAAACCTGAATTTTAGAGTAAGCTCCTGATTTCATTTCCTTTCAGAATAATACGAAAACTAGAAGGTAGTGCATATAGAATTTCCAAAGAATCAGATGGGTGGAGTTATTTTGTGAAATTCTTTTGGACTTGTGTTTGGTTTTCACACTTTTGCAAAGCTGTGTTGACAAACGCTGATAAAGTATATGAGTCCAGTTTCACAGCCACTATGCTAGTCAAAGCCTAGTTGGCAGGCCATCACTTACCTCCCCAGTGCTCATCACATACCGTGAAGAGCATGGTTTTATTGGCTAGGCCTGGGAGCATGGTGCTGCACTCCATGACGACGGCCTGGGGGATCATTATGATGCAGGAGACAATCCAGATAATGATGATGCTGTTTCGGGCCCGCTTGGCTGTACTCTTGAACATCAAAGGGTGACAGATGGCATACCATCGATCCAAGGCAATGCAACTCAGGGTGAGGACAGACACAGACACTGACACCGTCTAGAGGAAGAAGAACACAATAGAAGAGGGTTGCCAGGGTCAAAGGGTCACACAGACAAGCAAATTCAAGGTTGACCAAACCTAGTTCTTGCAAGTGATTTCCATTCTAAGAAAACATGTCAAGAGAGAAAAAAAGCTGGGTGCAGGTGGCTCACGCCCGTAATCCTAGCTACACAGGAGGCAGCAATCAGGAGGATGGAGGCTATAAGCCAGCCCTGTCAAATATTTCACGAGGCCCTATCTCAAAAAAGCCTTCACAAACATAGGGCTGTTGAGTGGCTCAAAGTGAAGGCCCTGAGTTCAAGCCCCAAAACTGCAAAAAAGGAAAAAAGAAAAAAAAAAGAAATGCATTAGAAGAATGTGTATTTCGTGTTAGGCATGCAGAAAGATGCTTTGAAAACTCTTCAATTTTTATGCTAAATGTTTTCATTGCTAATAAGATATCCTTTGAAGAATGACTATCATGATTTTGTGTTGCAGTTTTTCTACTGATTGGGGAAATCATAACCTCAAATGGAGAGACAGAAAGCTTGTAAAATTTTGATCTAGAAAATTCTCTTTAGCTTAAAAAGAGTAATAATTATGATGTAGGAAGTTGCCTGAAATGACATCTAATAAGCATGTAGAATCATAGGTACATCACTTCATATTTCCAGGAAATAAGGGATATTTGTACATTGATTGATTTCCACTATGCCACATGCAAAGAAAGGCATCAGTCTTGTTTAAAAAAAAAAGACTTCTGTTTATTGGTCTCTGGACTATAGCTTTCTGCCTGCTAGCATAAGAATTGCCTAAAAAAATCAGACAACTTTACCCAGCCCAAATTCCTAAATAATTAACACTGTTATAAAGTATTTATTTAACTTAGAACTTTAAAGAAATAACAAAGAAACAGGTTAAGTACTCCTACTGACACACAATAAGTTTATATAGTTCTGTTTAATGAATTTTTATACTGGGAGGAACATTGGTTTTATTGAATTGGTAGTTACTTGAGAAGTAAAATACAAGCCCAAGGCTGCCACATATGTGCTAGGTGTTTCCAAATGCTATGATTTTAATAATAACAATAATTATACCATTACTTTTCCTTTTCATTCTGGAACCTGGAGGTCTAGATTTTAATTGGAACAGATTGCTTTTCAGGAAGGAATAGTGATAGAGGAATATTAATTTAGCGTAAGTATTGCAAATTCTAAGGGTCACCTTAAAGGGCCAGACTCTACCGGAGTGAGCTCGGGTTGGCTGATGACTTCTGAGAATTTTTTGGTGCTAGGTTAGAGTGCCTTCAACTCTCTTTTTCAGCTCACCGAATTTCATTTCTTCTCTAAAACTAAGTTAAACACTTTAAACTCAAACACTGTTTTCAGTATTTTCTACTACTATTCAGTAATAATAGATCATATCAGAGCACTTAAATGGCGACACCCAGTGTCAGGAGTGACCCAAGATGCAGTACCTTCTCTGTTGTGCAGCAAAGTGAGAGAAAATGCTGGTATGAGTCTAACTGTGGGATGAATCTGTTGACTCTAACACTAGAATCCATCCAATGTACCCTTGATAGTCAGTGATTTAATATTCACTGCTTCAACTTCCACATTTGCAGGTGAATAAGACACATTAGTGTGTGATTAACATCTAATTTACAAGATTTTCTTGGTGGGATATAAGATCTATCTCATCTCATCATAAGTGATTACAAATGAGAGCTTTGCTACTCCTTGCTACTTTGAGGAGTGCACGTCGGGGTGCCTTTTTCATCTAGATTCTGACATTAGCTCATGTCAGTCTGATAGTAAATCTCTTGAAAATGAATCCAGTGTGGATTACAAATGTTGTGAATGGAGTGAGATCATGGGAATAATCTTGGCCTTCAGGTACCTAGTGTTTCACCCATACCATGGGCACCTAAGTACTGGTAATGCTTGGAGATTTCCTTTGGTAATCCCTGCTTTATGTGAATCTATAGATAGGCCAAAAAGATCTCAACGAAACATGATAGGTATAGAAAATTTGCCAAATCAGAAATTTGGATGAAAGGCATTAATAGATTGGGCAATGGTAAAACATGACTGAGAGAGTGGGAGAGTCTCTGACCACCCACAATCCATCACCTACATCTCGCTTGGGTTTTGCTATTGTTTTCCTGACATTTCCTTGCCCAGGGATGCTTCTAAAAAGTAGCTGATTGCTTCTGTCAATGAGTTAAATACATGATAATTATTCATTTAATACCCTAATAAGTGTTGAGTCTTTGAAATACAGAATTATTAAAGATATAAAAAGGTCATTTTAATTATTCAGCTAAGCTTTATTATATTTGTGAGATTTTTAGTTGCTTGAGCACTTGCCAAAGTATTATAGTATATAACTCATAAATCTAAAAGATTGTATTGTACGTAGAAGAAAAAGAACATACAAATCATAGGAAATGAGTAAATGCTCAAAGAATCTTAAATGCAAATGAATAATCTTATAAAAAGACTAGGCATTATGCAATATGTTTAAAAATATTCAGTATGACATAAATGTATCAGGGATAAGATTCATTAGAGTCAGACTAACACAACTGGGGTAAGTTACTGAAATTTAGATGAAGAATCCATTGTATCGTTAGCACCTGTTTGTTGCATTTAGGAAAATTCCAGGGAAAAGAAAAGCAATACCATGTGGGTAATTTGGAGACACCAGCTTTGCCAGTGCATGGATTGGTTTGTGTACCTACTCTTTTCCACTAGGAAGTAATATTGAGTGTGTTCGTGGATGGCTCTAGTCTTTGCCATTCTGTGATTCCTTGTTATTTTCTATTTAGTCTAAGGAGAAGATACTCACCTCAGGAGTCTATAACAATGGGCACTGTTTATACAGAAGCAGAAAGACCTCTCTGGAGGAGGAAACGCTCCTTCAACTGTAGTGCTTGTGAATAAACTGTGCTTATTCTGGTGAAAGAACAATCTCGATGAATAGAAGAGAGACTCATGCCTTTCATCACTCACTGGTCACACTCTGCTGCAAGAATATAGTTTTTTAGTGCTCACAGGAGACTCTAAAATGCCTGCTCTGCAGCAAGGTATCACTGTGCATCAGAAACGGACAGCACCCACCAAAGGTGCTGAACCCTAACCTCATCAGTCACTCCTCACCAAAGCTCCGAGTTCCAAGAGATAACATGTAGTCATTTCAGTTAGTTGAAGATTCTGGGTGACTTGAAGCCATCCTAAAACTTAGATGATCCCCAGAATTTCCCCCTTGGTAATTATTGAAACCAAGAAAAATAAAATTTGATGGAAGTACCACAGAGGTAGTAAAACATTAGAATTTATTTATTCATTCATTTTTATTGTTTATACATTTATTTCTATGTGTATATATTGTTTGGGGCATCTCTCCCCTCTGCCCCCACCCTATCCCCCACCCCCTTGCTGCTGGGCAGAACCTGTTCCACCCTCTTATTCTCCAATTTTGTTGAAGAGAAAACATAAGAGATAATAAGAAAGACATAGCATTTTTGTAGCTTGAGATAAGGATAGCTATATAGAGAGAGTCCTACCGTTGCTTCCATGCACATGTGTGTTACAACACGAGTTGGTTCATCTCTACCAGATCTCTTCACTACTTCCTATTTTCCTTCCCAGAGTGGACTCTGTCAGTTTAAGGTTACTTTTTTCACTCCTCTACAGTGGGCACATCAACCACATTCAAATTTTAAGCTTCTTTCCCTTTCCCTATTCCTCCTGTTCTTGACTGATAATTTTCCCAGCGTCTTGATGCAAATACAATGACAGTCATTCATTTACTACTGAATTTTGTTCTATGAGGATATTTTCTGTTTCTCATTGCACTATTTCTCTCAAAATTTGCTTCATTCATTTTTTTAATACATTCATGGTTTTCAGTAGGCTGACCCAAACTCATCTAATAGTTAACCACAATGTATGGATGAAGCTTATAACTTCTATGGCATTTTCTGCTATTCTGCAAGTGATGTCTGACCTTAAAACTTTTCAGTTCTCTCTGTAAACTGTCACTAAAGCTATTGAGTTGAAGATCTCTTTGTAACGTATCAGTTCCAAATAAATAATCAAAATAATTTCTTCTAGTGGGATATTTGTGGCATTTCCCATATTTCTATTATCAGAAGCCTATTTTATATTCCTGCAAATATCACAATCTGGGAACTGAATGAAATGAGACAAGCAGTACAAGAAAATTGTGGGAAGACATTTCACCACTGCCTGGGTACCAAAGGAAATCCATGTCTAAGTGGAATGGCCGCACTTACTGTCTTGTGAATCATTTTTCCCCAATGATTTTAGATACCTAACACTCTCTCAAAGCATTTGTCCTTAAGTAGATATAGAAACAATGTTTTTACTCTTGACCAATAAAACATCTTTTGATGATACTGGTAACTAATGTACGTTTTGAACATATTACGTTTATACGATCAGCAGAGAGTAATCATTGAGTCAAGACATTTATATAGATTTTTCAAGTATGCTGTCAGGACAGCCATATGAAGTGTATCTCATTAAATTACTATCCTTTTAAAATAAGGAATTGCAGACAACCTGTGTATTTGACTTGTTAGCATACCGCCCGAGAATGGCAAACAGACATTCCAAATCTGCTAGTCTGATTTGGAACTCATACCAAATTCTGTTCACTGTGCTGATTACCACATACCTTTTAATCCCTCAGTATGAAAAGAGACCATGCATAAAACAGATCTCACTGATTTGGACTGGGAGAAACTGAATTATTAATTTGCTCAAGTACCTTATTTAATAATGGGAAAATTAATAATCAAATAAATCAAATACTTGTACAACACAGCAAGATAATTTGACAGTTTGTTGCTTTATTTTTACCTCTTGCTTTATTTTTTTCCTCCGGGGGAAAAAAAATCTCAAATATTACCTTTCTTGTTTGACAATTCTTAGGTAAGTAGATTTGTTTCTTACTTCATAAAGTTTTCAGAGGGCCATGACTACAATTGAAAATAGTTTTTCAATAGTTTATTTGAAATTAAAAGTATGAAAAATGGTTACCTGTAAGTAGGGAATCACTTTACAGAGGGGTTGTCCAAAGAACCATGTCTCCGTGATGTCAACGACCAGCGTGGCTGGAAGGCAGGTAATGGTCACGAGCACATCAGCCAGGGAGAGATTGACTATGAAGTAGTTGGTCACTGTCCTCATATGGTCATTCTTCCACACTGCCACACAAACTGATTGGTAAAGAACAAGGGATTGTAACTAAACCATGAATACAGGTACCCATGAGGAAGCACTGCCTACCTAATTAATCCTCCATAAAGTCCATATGTATATATTATTGAGAAGGAAAGAATTTTAGACTGTGTTGTGTTTTCACTGAGCCAGTCAGTCTGAACAAATGCTGAATAAATGCTTAAAATCAGATAATTTACCTTGCTAGACATCCCTCAATCAATCATAAGGGCTGTGCTTAGTTTTTACTTGAGTTTGAATTGTGTGTCCCACAAGTTAAAAAACAAACTTGTATCTTTCTATTCCCATAGAACTCTATGTAGGAGAATCTCAAGGAGCAGTTAGTTGCTGAGCTAAGGCTTTTCAGTGAATTGCTTACCTTGACCATGGTCATGGACCATATCTACTCCTCAGATCTGCACTTGTGACCTCTAACACATGAAGATTCTTGCCCTTAGAAGATGAGAACTAACACTTTTTCATCCCCTGCTGTGGCCATACCCTATGTGGTTTACATTGTTCAATCCTGACAACTTTAGGGGAGGTCATTGCTAACCATTTTATTTTATTTTATTTTTTTTGAAAGAGAAGCTGTGTGTAGCTTTTATTTTTGTATATTGCTATTAGCCACATTTTATACTCAAGGTAACAAATATAGAGAATTCATGGGACTTGTCTAAGAGCATTTGGCTCATAAAGCATAAAAGTGTTTATAACTGGGATTGAGTTCCAAGTGAAAAGCTGGTCTTTTCCTTCTCTCATCAAAATGAGGGAGCCATGAAAAAGCACACTTAAACTCTGGACACTGAACCCTCTCTCCTTGCTGTCACCCTTGATGGCCTCTAAACATCACTCTGGTCACCCTCCAGTCAAGCACACTTTTCAATACGTTCACAGCAGGCTCCCTCATTGCTTTGTAGAACATCCTTAGTTTAAAAGCTGTGCTGTCTCACTCAGATGCTGTTTACTGAAGGAACATCCTGTTCCCCTATTCTCTGTCCTCTGCCTGTCTAGTGTACATGAAGGCAACAAAATCACTGACTTCAGAATTGTATAGGTGTGCGTGCTACTACCCACATCTATAGATGGTTTGCTTTACTGCAAATGACAGTGATTGTGCCTGAGGTATCATTAACCTGTCAGAGCTGTGACCTCTGCACCTACATGGTGCACTGACTGGTAAATTTCCATAGCGTAGAAATAAAAGAACATTTTGTTAAATTTAAGGTACTGAATAAGGATGCTTTTAGAAAATTATGTACCGTTTATTAAGAGTTTCGTGTACTGAAAAATGCTTTTGCTGGCTCCTAATGTTAAAATTAGACATCAGCTACCAACTGCTGTCAGTTTAATAAAAAAAAAACAACTCTTAGATACCAAGGGTTTAATTTTGAATTCTTCTCATCTTCCTCTAACTCCAGCACATTATCTAAAACTCAGGTGAGCTTAATTAGAGTATGTTAGAGTCTTTTTATTTGAAAATAATGCTGTTGAATAATTTATTTCCCATAAACACTTGAAACAGACATACACCCAACCTGGCAATTGACAAACTCATTATCATAGTCCAAAGTATATTTCTGGTACTTTCTCAACTTATGAATGGAATGGTGCACACCTACATTTAGAACAAGCACAGGACTTGAAAATAAAATTAATTCTCATTTGACATTCAACTTTCCACATTTTGACTATAGGGGGTGGCAGTGATGAGAAGACAATATTGATGCATTGTATTTAATCAATATTAAAGCAATATATGCTCAATAAACACTTCTTCAGGATTTACTGCCTGCCATGCCTTCTTCTAAGCATTTTAAATTAATAACTACTTTAGTGAAAATTACGCATGAAGTGAATGCTGTTTATTATCCTTTTTAACAAGCAAGTAACTATGGATAGAAAAACGAAACTACTAATAAGGTAACAAAAAAATAATCAGTACTAGAGCTTATATTGAAATGTTATCTTCCATCCTATGTCATCCTTACAAACTCTTTATTAAAGCAGAAAATGTAAAGGAAGCTACAACCTGTGTTTGATGGGACTCTAACATAGAGACATGGGACATTTTAGCTGGAAATCATTCAGTTTAACCTACTAAATGATGCATGCATAGTTACCTCTGCAAAGTCATCAATCCATCCTTCTGAGCATTTATAATAGAGAATTTTCTACTTGCTGAAGTCCTTGAGTTCATTTTCTGGCAGACTTAACTACTAGCAAGTTCTCATTCATGCTGAGTTGAAATCTGCTTTCCTTTTGTTTCTGCTTACTAGTTCTTAATTCTTTCTTAGAACCCCCCAAATAAACTTTACAAGTGTTTTGTCTTGTACTGTATTATTTTCCTATAGCTGGTATAAAAATGCATCACCTTCTGGGTATCTTTAAAACAAGATAAATTTAATGTCTTACAGTTCTGGAGGTCTGCAACTATCATGTCAGCAGAGATAGGCTTCCTGCCCAAACCTGTAGATCTATCATTGTTTTCCTCTTCTTAGCTTCTCGTGGTTTTCTGGGACTCCTTGGGGAATCTGGCAGTCTTTCTACTGCATAAAGCAAGTCTAGTCTCTGCCTTCATTGTCACACAGTATTCTCCTGCATCTCTCTTTCAACGTTTTCTTATAAGAATAATAATCAGACTGAGGTAGACATTCACCCTAGTGCAGTATGACTTCAGCTTAACAAAGTACAACTGCAACTACCCTGTTTCCAACCTTCTGAGGGAATGGAGGGTAGGAATTCTTTTCTTCTATTCACAGCACACAATTCAATCCATAACAGTATCTATTCAAATATTTAAAGAACCCAGCTATGCTCATCTCCCAGCCCCTTTGCTTCTCCAGGTGAAAGGGTCCTGAAAATCCTCATGTTCAGCTCAGGATTTGGTATATGTCACATCACTCCGGTCCCTTTATTCAGAACAAGCTCCAGATTACCAATAATGGTTCTTAGTGAGCCACCTGTAACTGCACATGTTGTCAGGTATGGTCTCCCCAGAGCAGCAAAGAGAGGAGTGATTGCTTTGTTCATGTCTCTAATAAGACGGTCTGAGGTCTTTAAGCTTTCTTAATAGCCAAGCCACTTGTTGTTAGTTATATATGTATCTAACTATTAGAAATTAGCTTTCTTGCACAGATGTCAGGTTAAATCTTTACCTTAGATGCCTAGGGAGACAAAAAAAGGGAAAAAGAACTCTATAAAGATCATTATTGGAAATGTTGGTAAAATTTTAATTTGTACTTTACGTTAGATTATGTTATTGTTCCATAAAATAGAAAAAGTATAATGTTTACATTACGTCCATTCAAATACTTCTGGAATGTGGCTATCCTTATTTCACAGGGCTTTGCTTTTCTGGGAGCACCACTACAAGACCTTTATACAGCAGCAGAGTTTTGCCTCTCATTAACCTGGTCTCTCTACTGTGAACACATTCCAATTTATTCGTACCTGTTTCTAAACAGTCTTCCCAGAACTGCACACACATCTTCAGGTAAAGATCTCCCAAGTCTATGTTAATCAAATATCCATTTTTTTTCATTCACTCACTCACAAAGTGAATGCTACCTTTTTATAATAGTACACTAAATTCATGCAAAGTTAAATTCATTGCCTTTCCCTAAGATTCATATTTCTCTGATGTATAATATCTTCTTTTTCTCCCCAGTGACAGATGCTTGAAATCTCCCAATATCTCCTAACTCCACCAAATTCTTTGTATTCCGATTCCAAATACCCAATAGCAGATCATGGTGCTCATCAGCTACAGTGGTGACCTCCTGACAGTTTCCTCTGTACTCTGTCTTCGCTTTATGTATTGTATCCATTATTACATTAACTCTTTATTACAGTAGGAGTTCTTTGTTTTCTTCCAGAGAGTAAAAAAATCTTCAGATGGCCATTCTACCACTGATCTACTGGAAGCTTCCCCCTTTCTCTTGTTCCTTATAAAATACTAGAGCCCCAGGTTACATCTCATGTCTCACTAAATATCGAATGTATTCCATGCGCAGACCATTGTTCGTGACATTGCTCTGTCTGGAAAATTCCATACTCCATTTCAGTCATCTTTTAAAAAGTTAAATGCTTTTCCAAATTATCCAAACTATCAACCAACCAAACAAAAAGTTTCTGATTCACAAAGTATTTCCGACTTAGCCTAACTCCACACCACTTCTTTCTTCCTTACAATCCTATAACAGTTCGTGCCTTCCATGGTTATGAACTGTATTGTAAAATTACTCTGAAATATTATGGACGCTGTATTTTTAATCTCTTTACTGATATAAAGAATCTTTATCATTCTACAGTGGACTTTACCTTTCCCTTAGTTTTCTTGATTTCTACAGTTTTTGTCCCAACAACAAAAATGCCTTGTAGAACATACTCTGCAATAATTATTAATGAAATTGACTTGCTGCCTGGGTACCTTCTCCCGTTAATAAATTCTTCAAATGAGCTAAAAACTCTAATTGCAGATAGGAGCATTTATTTTCTTCAGGTCTTTTGAGTGAAATCTGAGAGCTGTCTGAAAACTTAATTGCTTGTCAATATTCTTTTGTCCGTAAGTAAGCCATTGCCCCAATTCTCCACATACTGTCTCCTGATGATCATTGGTAGGTTCCAAGATGTGAATTTAGTACTGCATTTGAAATCATTCAGTGAATAACCAAGAGACATCAGTATCATTAATGTCCATTTGCAGTTAGTCTGTACTTGAAAGCCTGCCACCATGAACCAGAAGCATGGAAGGGTGAGAGAGATGATAGAAGCAAGAGAGCAGATGCAATTCAGTGCCAGTTTTAACCTGGACTTTATTGAAATGGAGGTTTCTGAAAGTCAGAGTTGCCAAGAAGATAAAAATCTATCTCTTCCTTCATCTTTCACCCCATCATTGACTTACCATTTCTTCCTCTGTAAGACAGGATGTTTGGCTCCTGTCCTTTCTCTGCAAGACAAATAGATGGAAGAGGCTCGAGCTGCATGAGAAAATCCA